TGGTTGCAAACTGACTGAACAAAATGTATAAATGGCAAGTGTCATTCGGTTTAAAGGTAATATACAACATTTGCAAAGATCAAAAAAGAAAAACTACCAAATTACTATGAAATACCTTATTTGTCTGTAAGTGAATAATAGTCTCAAGCATCCTGTGAAATTATGGCACCTGGTGTGCGGTCATTTTCAAGAAAAGTGGAATTTTTGTATCAGTTTCCAACGATGGTCGGCCGACCATTGTCGGGAGAAACAAAATGACTTTTTTCAAATACTGCCCCCAATTTACGAAATTTAGTCCACATTTTGTTCACAATTGGTCACACATTCGTGAACAGGTGCAATCCAGCTAGTCTGGTTCCCTGACCTGACAATTCCCTGTAGTCTATAAATTGCTCCTTTTCATCTGAAGTAGGGTCAGGGAATTAGACTACAAGAACAACATTTTTTTGGGATTTTGTCAGCATCTATGAACGCAAAACTGTAAACAGGTCAGTGAAACAATATTTGCTATAAAATGCTAACCCCCAAATCCATTCATTTCTGAAATTTACAGCAAAAGCAAATGTTGTATATTACATATAAAAAGTACATCAACTTTAACTGTATAAACATGGGAAAGCACATAGCAGGCAGGGACATTTTTGTTTGCCTTTCTGTCTTTTTGTTAATGTCCATCATTTCCCCTTTCTTTTTAGTTTAACCCACACTGAGTTTGTCCATTCATACATGTAACACCTCATACTCTGAGGTTCCAATCTTTCCCAAGTAACTACAGAGACAAATTCTTCCTTCTTCTATCTTGTGTTTCCAACATTCTCCCTCCCCACTTTGTTCCATGTCTTCTCTCTCTATGTTTCCTGTTTGTTCTCAAGATAAGTGTGGGTCCACCTACAATAAGTTAATCCATTCATCACTCTCTATACATCCTGAAGACGTTCCCATCTTACCAAACAAACTAGGGATGCATTCTTTTGTTCCTCCTATCCAGTTATTCTAACACTTATTCCCAATCTTGTATTTTCATCTCTTTTTCCATTCCTATTTTCAGCCTAGAGTGATTACGTCCATTCATAACTTTATGTGCTCATGGAGAAGTTCCAATCCAACCACAGCAACCAGCTTCCCTTCTTCTGTGCCATGTTTTGAAAATTCTCCCTGCCCCAATGTTCTCTTCTCTGTACAGGCTTCCTGTTGACGGTCTTTGGTTGCCCCTCTTCACTGATTCGATTTGGATCTCCGCCTATCAGCGCTACAGCAGACAGGAAACGTCTGAACAAGGTTGTGTGTGGACAGGACACGGCTCATTATGGAGGGCAAAGGGGGAGTGAGAGGGGGGGATAGTCATCTAAAATGGGCACAGAGTGGGTCCACTGGAGGGGACTGACTGCTCAAATGAAATGGTAGAGAACTAAGCTAAATCTCCTGCCATTTTGTATATTCTGTTGAAAATCTATTTCAGGATTGTAAGGAGGTAATGGATTTGTCATCAACGATAGTAAAAAGGTAGCCATAGTAACACTGATTGGATTAAATCTATGTCAATATAATTATTAGTAAGAGTTTGTTTTAAATTTATTATATGATATAAAGAAACCAAGGAATCTAAACATGGCACTTATTTTATGAATGTCTCAGTATTTAAAGTGGATTATAGTAATATTGTCAATGCAAGATCATGACTGAGGAATGTTACAAAGAAGGTTACACAAAGCTTTTGGTTTTTCCCCTTATGTCACTGCATTGTGCTTTTGACATTAGAACTTATAGAGAAAGCACATATGAAGATCTTGTCAATAGCTACGTATGTGTATGTACAGATTTCAACCGGATGATTTGGAAGTTGCTTTTTTTCAAATAAAGATTTCAAATAAAGCAGTAAAAATTTTCCCCTGCAGATGAACGTGTCAACATTTCTTGTGGTTGATCAAAATAAGCACGTTGTTTGCATACAGTCCACTTTGATGCTTGCACATTTTACTCAGACTTGTTGCACAACAAAACTCAATTATGCCGTGTCTCAGATCACTATTCCTAGACATCCCCAGGCCCCCCCCCCTCAATTATTCCAGAGCAAAGAAAATTACATTACACCCTGGTCTCAGATGCATGGATAATGCCTTTCAGCTTTTCCACTGAATAAAAAACTCAGGGAAGATCCTTTGTTTTGTTTATTAGATTTGGGCGGTGCAGTGTCACCCGCCTCCAACAACTGGGAATTTTAACCAAAAAATTGCCTTAGAATACTTTCTGGCAGATCTGCTTAAGCATTCACGCTTTGCAAATTTGCAATTCATTTTCTGCCGACGACGGCATCTATTTATAAATCCTTTGAGAAATCAAGAAGGCTTTGGAAAAACCCTCACAATCTGGGATATGAAGTATAACCAGCTTTTGTTGACAGACTAGAGCGGTCAAAATGTGTACGTAGTGGATTAGATCAGATTCAAAATGCTGTGAAAACTTTTGTTGAGTACTGTGAATATTCCATATTTTTTTCTAAACACACATGCAACAATATGGTCAAGTCTGATGATGCTATTGGTTGGGGCAGCTTGTGGTTACAGGTGATAACCTAACTAAAGGTCCAAGTGGCAACACATTGGAGCAGTGGTGAAGTGAAGATGTTTCTGTCCAAGTTTTAAATAGTTTCGGCATCTTTGTCACCTTCCCTACCAACTGAGCGACAGAAGTATTGATATTACAGCACCGTGATACACAAAATACGCCTGCCCACTTGTGCACATCACTATGAGTAAAATACGACGAAATTTCTTGATAATTCAGAATTATTCTTCGCACATGGTGTTTAGAAATTTAAATTTAATCAGGTAATTAAAACTGGGGCCCTGTTTTACATTACTGAACTCGGGCCTGTAGCCGTAGCCCCCCCCCCCCAATTTTTTATTAAAAATCGGCCACAGATCCACTTTTTCCTCGCGATTGACATATGAGTTTTACTCAAATGTGTACCGGGTATTTCCATGCATAATCACTTTGTGGTAAAAAAGACCCTCCCCTTCCACCAGGCTGGATATAAGGCCTCGGAACTGACTATATATTTTGTACACTGAGCAGAGAATTGGTCGGAATTGCAACTGCAAGGAAAAGGAGGGGAATGTCCTCAAGTACATGCACAGATTGACACAGGCTCCATTTTCTAAACCAGAAATATTTCTTCCCAAGGGATAAAGGGATCAGAACTCATCGCAGAAATAGCACACATTCCCCCTCAAACCGCATCCACAAAAAAAAGCTGGTCAGAGTGAGGGGGGGGGGGGGGAGAGAACTAGGCTAATAACAGTCTGTAATCAACTGATTCATGTTCTGACACATGTTTACCACTAGAGCAAGGTCTGCCTGTTGGCTTTGTCATAATCCATTGCAGTTCCCAGGAACAATCGCTGATTTGCCGTTTGTCAGAATTCAGCCTGAAGTTTACTGGATAAAAAAGATTGACATTCTCTTAGAATTTAATGTAAACACGACAAATTGGTATGATGAAAGAGTACATGTGTGCACTACATTGTGCAATGCCCATGGGTACTTTTTTGCAAAGAGCCAGCTCAGACAAATTCAAAGAAATATTGTGGTCTTGACCTTCCACAATGACTAAAATGATAGAAAACACTGCCTGGATGTTCCCATGGTTATTCAAGAGGCTGAGATTTCACTGTATTGCTGTTTTAAACATACCAAATATCTAACGGCCTTCTCACACTCTCATCTCCCTACCCTTGTTAAAATCAACACAAGTCCACCTTGAGCGGGGGGAACCAGGTCCCAACAAACACGGGTCACACAGGTGATTTTGGGGTTCCTACCCGGGTAGAAACTCAACCCGGGTCTTTACCAGGGTTGGATTTTACCCAGGTAGAGCACTTGACGCTTGTAGAAGCCGTGTTGGATTCTTGCCGCTGTCAATACCGGGTTCAGAAATCTCCTTGTTGGACCCGGGTCCAACACAGAGAGTTGGATAGAGTGAAAGGCCCAAGTTATTAAACTCTAGTTAAAAGCATTGGTAAATACAGAATAAAACTACAGAAAGGCCCTCATTCTGAGATGGAAATTCCTCATTTTTAAACAAGTAAAACAGTCTCTGGTAAGCTATTAAGAAGCAAACATCTGCTAAGCAAAACTCAACTAGGGACCACTCACAAGCAATATACATTACATTATTATTTTGGTTAATAATCCAAACATTTCTGTGCCTACCAGTACATGTAGTAAATTTGTGCTTAGTAGATCCTTGAATTTGTACACCATAACTTATGATCTATTCCTCAAAAAACAAGTCACCGTAGAAATATTTCCAATTGAAAACTTAAAACAAATGGATTGGTTGCAAGCCAAAACTTGACTGAAAAAAGGGTTTATATTTTGGACGTTGTGCAGTGTTGTGTTCTTTTAATGTGTGCCCCACAAAAGCATAAAACAAAAAGGAAATAAAAGGAATTAAACAACAATTTTTCCTACACATTAGAAAAAGAGAACTCATGCGAAAACAAATGAAACAAAACCAAAAAATTAAAATCAAACCGAAAAGTAAAAGAAACAAAAAATATAAAGTTGTTTTGTACAAAACAAATGTAGGTAACAATGCACAGAAATAGTCATGATTATTGTACGATGTTGCTTGCTTGACTACATGCCCAGCAGAGTCTAGAACAAAATAAAGCTACATTGCTGATGTGAAAACAGGCACAACCATGGAAAAAACCGTTGACCTGAAACAAAACAAATCATCAGTTTTTCATTCCATCATTCCGCAAATAATGGTCATAACACCTCAATATTCATAGATTGTCACAAGAATGAAATCATCATTTGAACACAAGTCAGGTCAGAACGAAACAAGCCGCAAAAAAGATTAGAAAACAACAAAATAAATAACAGGGTTTCGGTGTGCTGACTGACTGAAAACAACAAGTTCATGCAATTTGGAACAATTAACTTCACAAATTGACACAGGACAACCAAAGAAACCACACAGATGAAGAAACTTCAAGGCTTTTTTTTTGCATTTTTATTTCAACAACATGTAAAAAGTACAAATTTATAGCAATAACAATTATAATGTTAAGCAAAGAGCAAATTTCTTTGTTTTCTCCCGAGCCAACATGTTCTGCTTTTCATCACACAGACTTTTTAGTTCACTTTTTGCATTTTGGTTTTTCTTTTTTTCCTTCTTTAGGGTCAATTTCCTGCCCCGAGTCTGAAAACACATTTTTTCTTTCTTCTTAGTAACACTGCTTTTGTAAAAAAGTTTTTTGATTGGAGCTTGACAATGTTGGCAGGGAATTATCAGTTTGAGTATGTATAAAAACTCATTCCTGCCTTGTTTGTGACAAACTGGTATGAGTGAGGCAGGTTGTGGTACAAGTCTGTCCATTGTGTCCACTTGTCCTAAGCCACCCAATCAATTAACAGGTGTTTCTATATGAATTGTGTCTACTACCAATCATCGCATTGTTTTCCAGTGCACTCCTTAAAAATCTATCATTTTTTTTGTTAAAAATGTGTCTTCCACAATGTGGGAACCCGAAGATGAAGTCAAAATATAGAAAGTTGCTGACAAGCTGGAAGAAGTTGGTTTTTGTAGGATTTCAAATGGATTCGAAGGAAGGACAGAGAGACACAACAAAGACAGGTGTACCTATAGGATTCTACGTTAGTCCATGAAGTCTGGCTTGGCTAGTACCTCAAGGACAGTTATAACACAAGCATTAAGCACACTACACAGGGACCTACTCTGGAAGGCTGCAACTCCATTATCTCAATCGAAGATTTTTTTTCTTCAGCATTTTTCTTGAAATGACTACCAGCTATAAAGCGGATACATTTATTACATTTGAATGAGATGAAATGCTTGCATAGACTCCTCCTTTTCCAATTTCTTTTTGTGGAAAGCAGCAAGAATAGTTGGTCTTTTTTTCTTCTTTTGTTTAGTGTTTTGATTGCACATTTCTCAAGCTCAACCCGGACTCCCAAGATTAAATCTTTGCTTGAAAAGAACTGTATTTTTTTTTCTTAAAAGTCGGACCACACACGAACACAGCTCCTTTCAATTCCAAAGATCATATCTTGCGCAAAGTCTGGATAAACTTTTGGATTTTTCTTTTGTATGAAACTACTCTCTTTATGGTGCGAGTTGAACCCATCCTCTCTCATGTTTTGGAAGAACCAGCAACCTGGTGTTCCTCTTTTGTTTATCTATCTACTTGGAACCTTGTCTTTCTTTTTTGTACAGTACAAATCCATACTCTGTTATGTACAACTCTGTACAAAATACTTGTGCATATTATAGACCTTAGTCTTAATGTTCATAAAGCTGCATTTTTTTCATTCCATAATTTCATGGAGTAAGTTCAGTTTATAAGTACCATTTATTCCTACCGTTGGTAATATAGAAAGAAAGGTATATAGAAAATACTTTGCCATTCTACAATATCTGGGCACTTGGGATCGAAAATAGTCTTATTCACATTCTGCATACAGAGACCGTGGCTGCAAAATAGAGCCCATATATCATAGAATTCTAATCTGTCTAACGGGATGTACCTGTTCACAGTCGACACTAGGATCAGGTGTGTTGTTTAATTACTTACGTTTTACAATTATTCAAGAACAATGATTTCTTGTATATATGGCTTGGCCTTTTTCTTTTGTCACAGGTTCACTTATAAAGAGTTATAGAAATTTTGTTTTAAATCTTTTTCTGGAAGATATTTAGCACACTTTTTTTTTTTACAAGATTGGGCCCAGTGGGCAAGGTCGGGCTCAGGTTGGGAAGTAATGTAGCTTCCTGTCGAGTGTGTAAAGTATGTTTCAAACTGGAAAAATGCATCTAGAACAGAACTGAACAAATCTGTCTATTCAACAATAAAAACACCGAGCCCGACCTTACCCAGAGTTCACAGATATTCTGTTAGTTATCTCTTTGTGACATTTGATGCCAACCTACTACAAGCTCGATGATTCTACAATTGTGAGATGATCTCATCTGAGATAAATACAGGGGGAGTATGGAGGTCCAAATACGACAGCCTGAGGCACAAGGCTTTATATAGTCACTCCATAGTAACTCCCAACCTCCTCCATTTATTAGTAAGTCTTTGGTCTTGATATGTGCAATGTTAACATGAAGCACTCCCATAAACGAAACAATATAGAGTACACCACCCAGCCAAGATGCCAACCCCAAAACGCTTTTCAAGAAAAATCAGAAAAATCGCACAAGCTTTTGTAATTTTCTAAGTGACCCATGTCGCTCACCAAAACAAACTAAAGAAAAATCCAAAACAACTAAAGCAACATTCTAAAGAAACAAGTCAACTCAATCAAATGTTTACTTGGTTTTTTTTTTTTTGCTACAACCTTGGCAAAGTATTCCACAAAAAAATCTATGTCATTTTTTTTTGTCTAAGCTTGGTGCATCTTCTTGAGAAAGCTTGGTAACATACCACATTATAACTAACTGTTGAGGAAAACCCCCAAAATAACCACAAGTCATTCACAGAAATCACCAACATGAATTGTTTAAAATTCATAACTGGAAAGCTACTACAGGTATCTTGTTTGATAATATACGTAGAGAGCGAAAAAGCATTAAAATAGAAGCAACAATAAGAATTCATGCAAAAATGTTATAATGGATTAAATATATTCCATAATATCACAAAAATCACTTGTCACTAAACACATTTGTTTTCAAAGCAAAGAATCGTAATTAGAAGTTTTAAGTCTAAACAGCTCATAGTACGTAGCACCTTTTGGCCACAGATGAATCACTTGCGGTATTTTTTTTTTGTTATCACTATATCAGCAGATTCCAAACGACACAAATTGCAAAAGTTTTCTTAAAAGCGAAAGAAACCAATAGAAACAATGCCCACAAAACTCAACCAAAGTCACAAAACTATTCAACAGAATGAACCCATTACATGCTGAAGCATTGGCTGTACAGCCAGTCCAAAAATAAAGCCCCTTCACACAGCCACCAAAGTCTTCTTTTTTTTAAGCGATATCATTTTCTGTTATCTTTGGCAGCCACTGTGGGAGGAATATACAACTGATTTTTTTGTCTTTTCTCTCTAAAACAGGAACCCTGTTTTGACAATAAACTGCGGACGAGTATTCACACAACATCTAATGTTATTTACACTTTGTGACCAGAAATATACATATACGGTACATGCATCACCGGAAATAGCTTATGAGGATGAAATGGCCAAATTTAAAAACCCAAGACATTTAGGCCGGGCAATGACATTATACATAAGCCGCAATAAATAACTCCCGCTTTTTTTAACTGGTGTGATAATGCTTCGGCTCAGTACATCTTATCACCATTTTCACTTTTTTTTTAATACCAAATATTGGTTGCTTGGAATACATTAGCTTGGTTTGCAGTTCAAAATTTTATCCATTTCCCACGAGTGCACGACCATGCGGACAAGTGACAACTCCCCTTGATCTCTGTCTAGCCCCCCCCCCCCCCCCCTTTCATGGAAAGACATCCACGTTAGCTCAGTGTATGCTCGTTTACATGCCTTACTTAATTTATCCACCACTCGATTCAAATCATTCATTTCACACATATCATCAAAACGTCATAATTACACATGCTATAAAAATAGATGGCATGGTTAAGCCTTCACTGAGCTAATTAAAATCGTTAACTCAAAAACTGAATGAAGCAGCACGGTGTTATGGTGCAGTTTAATGGATCATAAATGTCGGATATATATCAGCATCATCCCAGAAGCACGTGAATTTTTGGTTTTGCAGCACTTTGTTATGTTTTCGTTTTCTATTATTTTCAATCTCTCGCATACCTTTGTCCTTTTCCGATAAAGTGAGGATCTTAACTTAAATGGAAATAAGAGTAAAACCTGCCTGGTCATGCCATAAAACCAATGATGAACGAAATTCCAGATCAAGACTACAAACGATAATTCTTTCAAAAGTGAGCTGTTCAGATTACTGGATCTGTTTGTATCTTTCTTGGTCACTGTAAAGTTATAAACACTACATGATAAACTACAACATAAACACAAAAACACAAAAGCCAAAATGTTAATACTTATGATAAAATCATGTCAATCAATATCTAATAAATTGATAGAACTAACTTTTCAATATAGTTTTTTCTATATTTTTGCAATTAAATTCCATACAATCAACACAATTCTTTATACGAAGAGCTAAATCAATAATCGTATGCATGCATACATTATAACTACTTGGATTGGCATGAACATAAAAATTAAAAGATAAGATCAAAAATTTAATACTTGATTAAATTTGAAAAGTCAGGCGTTAAACATGTTCACAAATGATTTTTCTCAAATTGAAAACTGTTAAGAAATGATTAAATTTTTTAAATAGTTTTATCTTTCTGTCTGTAAGAAAAATTGGTTTAACCAATTAAGACTCAAAACCTTTTTAAAAACAAAGTTCAAAACGTTTGGCCCACAACAAAATAACAACCGGGCTAATACAAATTCCTCTTAGATATCACGTCTCTCCAATTTAAAAACTTTTCAAGGACAAAACTTGATTTTTTCTCTTTCAGAAACCTTCAACCAAATCACTCTTTTTTTTTCCTTCTGATTTTGATTTGTCTTATTTAGGGGATGAGATAATCTGTCTCTCGATCCGTTTGTGTGACTTTCTTAGATTTCTTTTTTTTTCAGTGATCCAAAGATGGATTTGGTTGTCTGTGACGACGTGTTTACTCATTCTTGGCCTTTTTGAAAGACACCTGAAGAGTGCGTTGACCCAGACAGTAGCCATTGAGTGCCTCAATGGCGCGGTGCGCATCCTCATACTTGGGCATGGTCACGAAGCCGAAACCCTTGCACTTGTTGGTGTTAAAGTCGCGCACCACCTTGACGTTGTTGACAGCTCCGAACGGCCCAAAGAGCTGCCACAGGAGAGATTCTTCACTCTCGGCAGGAAGGTTGTAGACAAACAAACACCAGCCATTGCCGTTGTTAGTCATCGCTTGGAGATTCATGGAGTTAAGCACGTCATTGCAAGAATGCTGCTGGGCCATTGTCATTGGTGAATACCTGGGAGTAAGAACAAAAGCCGACGGCCACACAAATCAACACATGCTATGTGGCAATGGGGCTCCACAAACACATTTTACATCAGGTTCCTTATAAAAAGTTGGTGTGGCTTTAGTAAAACCCCCTTTTTACCCTACTTTTGTTTTAAAAAGGAGTAGCAAGAGAAAAAGATCTAAAAGTCACTGAAACTTTAGAGTTAATCAAAAGTATTTAACTAAGCTCTGTTCAAACAGGGTTTTTTGTTATAAGTTCAATGGAAATTAATGCTTGAAACTGTCAAAAACAAATTAACAAGTGAGCAACAGGTGATCCAATAATTGTTGAAAGTATCTGAGAAAGTAAAATTCAACATGAAAAGTTGTTGCAACAATGTTGAGATGTCTGTACTGTGTAAGTGACAGAAAAAGGACAAAACAGAAAAACAAAAAAGAATCAACAGAAAATAAAGTTAAGCAAACCACCACCTCTTATCAAGAGAAAAAGGAAACAAGGAATCATTCAGTAATGCAAACAAGTCAAAATGGTTTTTAAAACTCCAACGAATAAATCTATTAACAAGAACTTCAGAACAGAACTGCAAAATGGAAATAAAAATTGGTTTATGAGTGTTAAACAGAAAAGGAAACGAAAGACGAAAGTTGATTTCAACAAGTAGTTGATGCCAACCAACATATGAAATCGACCAAGGGGAACTCGAAAAAAAAAAATCATAAAAAAAATCAAAACTAAATATAACCACAGTCCACATACATGTATCCTTTCACCTACATGTAAAAAAGTAAAAATAAAAAAAAATAATAAAAAATTCAGTGCAAGCTGTTACACACAGATGCATATGAATATCAACTGATAAACAAGGATTCAGGGTGTCAAATGCCACACAATTTGAGGAGAGAAGGCACCAGACTAATTTGAGTTCTGGTGTCATTTACAAAAACTTGTCAAATAATAATGCACTGCCAAACAGTTAGTAAAAACACAGCAGAAATGGCAATTCCAATGAGTGCTAAGAAAGTTGGATTCATTCAAACTATCATTTTCTAACAATTCTAATGGTCTTGTTAAAACAAAAATCAAATGTTGAACATATTTTCCAACCCTTTGACTTGAGTTTTTTAAATTCATGTCGGAAACATGAATTTTTTTTATGTCGATACACCTTGGTTATTTGCAGATTGTCAGTAAAGTTGTCTTTACTGATTTTTGGTGAATCAATTTTTTTGGAAATCTGAGTCGACCTTTTTCCATTCTATCAAAAGAATTGCCACTTCTCCTTCAAGGATTCCCTTCCTACTTTTGGCGATTTATAAAAAAAAAACCTGAACTGAAGACCATGTCGGGAAAAAAAAAGAGGAAGCCACAAACTATAAAATAAAATGTCATGTGAATTACAAACGTGTTACTAAAGCTTTAGGAAAAACCAACATGCATTAATGAACACCTATTAATGTGGATAAACAACCTTTGTTTTTGTTTTTTCGTAGATTGGGGGATGGGTACTCACATGCTGTTTTTGGGCAAAATCTTGCCTAGCAGTCCCTGCATCTTGTCGCTTAAATGTTGCCACCTACACACAGAATTCACATGGGGAGATTTTCAGATACTTCATTCATGTATCCACAATCGATCGATTGATGGATCAACCAACCGACCAATCAAGCAAGCAGCTCACTATGTCATGTGACGTGTCATGTGATGAATGGGCCCGGTAGGTGAAAGGATACTGCAAAAACTGGGCTCAGGAAAAATTTGATGAAGAATTTGGCTTGTTGATCCCCTCTCGTTCTCAACCAACAATGAGTTTCACATTTTGGAATACAACATTCATGCACTTTTTTTATCACTAGGGTAGGCAAAGGGAAATTTGTTATTTTTTTTTATGAAGTTTTACAACAGAAAGAATCACAAATTTATAGACAGGTTTCACAAAAAAGGATGGAAAATCATGTTAAATTTTTTTTTTGGGGGGGGGGGTTCAGATTCTCGATTTTGTTTATGTTTGAAATATAAAAATAACAAAGCTTCCCTTTGCCAGAGATTTTTTTAAGGGAGGTTGGCCTGTAACTGCAGACATGAAAACAGACGGTTGCCAATCACGTGGACATTCCCTGGAAAACAAACAATTTAAAATATCCATCTTCCGTCCAGCATTAATACCTGCTTATACAGTGACACACTTTTCAAACACCTTTGACAATAATGCAGTATTGATATATTGATGTACTTGTAGCATGAGCATTATACACGCATTTAGTAGTTTATTTTCTCTCGGAATTTTGGCAAACCAAACTCCATAGGATTTGAAACTTTGCATGGCGGTGTGAACTAGCGAGGGTTTGCGGTTACACCATGTGCAAGAATCTCTTTTGAGAAGATGTGTGGTTCTGAAAAGAACCGGTTGGTTGTGAAACTCGACGCTCCTGAAAACGATCAGAGCATACTAATTGGAACGTCGAGTTCCATAACCAACTGGTTCTTTTTAGAACTTCTCAAAAGAGATTCTTCCACATGGTATTACCCCAAACCCTCACTAGTTCAAACTCTACAGAGAGCATTTTTGGATGTTTTTTTTTAAACCATGGATCTCTACGACAGAACTCCATGTTTTATCTCAATGTTACAACGAATTTTGCTGATGCTACACGATATTTAAATCCGAGGCATTTTCATTCAAAGACCTTTTTTTATTGCAGGTTTTTATATTTGAAAACATCTGGACCATACCATAAAATACACAGATACAAGGACAAAGAGCAGGGTTTGTGTACTTTGTTAGCAGGGCTCCATCTGTTCATTTTTTCATTAGACAGAAAAAACTTTCTGCCTGCCACAGGTTTTTCTTAAAACTTTCTCTTTTAATTAAATGACTGTGAAAGAACATGTACAAGTAGATGTACAAAAGAGATTAGAATCTGTCTTGGACAGTAAACTTCTGTTGTTTTGGAGGAGGCTTTATGATGGGCCGTAACTCGATTATTTACTTGCTAGAGCTTTGGCAATGATGGGTACGTAGAAAGTGCACACTATTTGATCTGGACTTGACAAATTTGTACTGTTATTCACTAAGTAGAAACCCTGCTCTTTCTTGACATCAACATAATGAATACCTGAAATGTTCACGCTTTTTAAGTCATTTGTTCAACCTTTATTTTGTGACAATCTATGAATATGTTTTTTTCTGACATTTAATATTTGTTTAACCATACACTATGCTTGTTTTCACACCATTCCTAAGTATTGCTATAAATACTTAATTCCCCAAAAGTTGACAAAAATAAGATCAACACCACTGATTTCAACAATGTTAAATCGACTATGTTTCCGTTTGTCAGTACACGGTACAATGTACCGTACTTGAGTTTTTCCAAAAAAATATTTTTCAAAAACATTGTTCACTTCAAAGAGGCAATAACTGGCTCAAGACATTCTTACTCTGCTTTTAACAAACAAAAACCAACCTAAACCATACTGGCTACACCGTGCCTGTATGGTCCATAAAAAAGCAATATATGTGTACCATTATACTTGTATGTAAATACAACCATTTTATTGCCAAAAAAATAGAGAAAGCTTTTAATAATGCATACTGAATCGGGTCAGGCTATATCACAAGCATCGTCCCTTTTAATTTCGCCAGCAATAAAGATTTAAGAGCTCCGGCCACTAACGAAGTTGACACAAACCATACTGTTTACTGCAAGCAATCCACCAATTAAATCCCCTGCACCCTGCCCACTTTGCATAATGAAATATTTATTTTGGGTGCTTGCTCACCGGCTCTGCGCTCCAAGCAATGGAATAAAGACACTGGGCATGTTTCATACACTGCCCAGCAAGCAAATTAAGAATATTCATGACGGGGGGCCGGTTTACCGATAGCAAATGCATGATCAATAAGCTATTGTCCGAAGGTTAATTTAAACATTGTATGTACAGAATACACAAAGAACATTCTGAATCGCAAATGACAGCAATGACAAAAGAAATCCATGTACATGTACGCAACGCAGAGCAAAACATCAATTCAAAGATTTGTTTAGGCCTAGTATCGAAGGAAAACATGAAAACTTCATCATAGAACTCGGTTGTACGACATGAGGTAGTAACCACCGTTGGCTGTTCCTTGTCATAATTATTTTCTTAAGAGTGAAGAATATGCAAAAATACACACAAAGACAAAGACAAAACATGAGAATGGCTCCATTATAAGCGCTTGCACACTCGTTGATATATTGCGACAAACAAGGTCTCCATGCAATAATCCAAACGTCACTCGCACACAACCACCTCACTTTTTGTTTTTTACTAGGCTTACCTGAAACACGGCGGCATGTGGCGCATGGGTCCTACAGATCCAATGGGCATGACACGCTGACGCTGGGGTGACATACACGTCATGTAGGCCTGCTGCAGCACCTTATGGAAGTTCTGACTTGGGTTGTTGGCAAACTTAACAATCAGTGGGTCCGAGCCTTGCTCAGGAGCTTTGTCATGGAGGGCTTCAATGGCCCGCTCTGCCTCCACACGTTTGTCAAAACGCACAAAGCCGACCCCACGGGAACGCCCGGCTAGATGAGAGAAAAGAAACACGTGATTTTATTCGAATTGGTTCTAAAAACTATTTTGCAATGGCATATGGTTTAAGACACATTAAACTTAATCATCAAAATCTGCTGAAATCCAACTCTTAGCTTTTGTCAGATTGTGAAGAATTCAATACTTGAGCGCTGTTGCCTTGCATATGGTGAGCCAATATATAATGTACATGTACATATAGCACTTTGAGATGGTTGGTATAATAATACAATACAATACAATACAATACAATATTTTATTTCATCACAATTAACAGACTTTAAAAGTGAAATTCTTCTTCCCAATGTGCACATAAAAACAATATATGGTATGATAGGAAGCGCTAAATAAGCATTACAATTTTTTTAATTTTTTTTTGTTTAGGGTCAAAATGGCTTTCTCTGGAGATGGGGAGCCTCATATCAGTTTGAATGCCACGGCATTTTGTTTTAATTCCACCTAATGAAGGTCTGATTCTGTACTCAAATAGACACCATTACTTGATGTCCTAATTTTGAGTAAAGTGCCAATGGTTAACTGCATTGTTAGATTTTGCAGGAATTAGGGAGGTTCCACGCCAGAATGAAGAGACCAGGGATATATTCTTCCAAGACATTTCTTCCAAGAGTGCATAAAAGCTTACTTGTGCTGGAGTCTTGATCATAGAGGAGTCTGGAAGTAATGATGTGGCCGTAAGGAGCAAAGAGTTTGTCTAGATCCTCCTGTTTGTAGTTCTTAGGGATTCCACTGATGTACAGGTTAGCATCTTTGATGGCCTGGCTGCTTGGTCTGGCATAGGAAACCTGGTGGACCAGCAAAGAAAACAAAATAATAACTTAGATTTGTCTTGGAAACATCTTACAAAACTTTGAAACTCATTTGCAGCAAATTGCTGCATAGTTACATCCCTGCCATGGAGATTACAAATAAGCTTAAAAAAAAAGAAGAAGAAAAAAAGACAAGTGAATATAAAAACAGATTCTCAATGTATCAGTACATGTAATAGAGCAGATTGTGCAAATCAGCTTCAGTTTCGTTTCAGATGGAATGTTTGCGTACGTTTATTTGAACAATGAAAATGAAGAAGCAGAAACAACAGTCATGACAATTCAATTCTGATAAAGACTTAAAATAGTAAAGACTTCTCTAAGCATGTATACACCTTGCACACATACAGCATCTTTCCACAGAACCCATAAGAGCCTGCTGCATTCTAGCATCTTTTATCAAGTACACTATTCTATTTGGCAACATTTTAAACCACATACATGTATGACTTTACTTTTAGTTTGTATTCTTTATCAGTAAAAATTCCTGGATAGAATACTCTCATTTCAGTTATTAAGTTTAAACAAAATAACATTGAAATGTTATGACCTTCACATCTTTTTATTATGTTTGGCCCGTTTTGTGTACGGCGACAAGCATATTTTTTTTTAACCTTAAACCTATAAGAATTGAGTTTGAATAGTTTATTCCCATCGCTGCAAATGCCGCAGGCAACAACAACCTATTTTTTTAACGTCCTATGCTTGCGTCGTGCGGGAATCATTACATGTACTTTTGTTACATGACAAAAGTTTCCGGGAACCCGACACCGATGGTTAAATGAAAGTGAATGTAATTTAGTGCTGAGAGAGCGTAGGTCTTCGACAAAGCCTTGGCCATTCACGTCGCCAACGCACTCCATGCGGAGTTCATTTGTACACCTGACTTCCTCGTATTTCCCAAAGGCAGATAGCCATGAAATCTTTCCATTAGAAGCGATCAAGTTCATGCGATAACATACACTGCTGGTGTAATCAGCAAGATGATAAAGCCAGCATCATCATCTAAGCATTACATGGAATTCAACCTTTGCAAGCCGCTGATCTCTTCTCTTTTTCTCAGACTTTTTCTCTTCTTTCCTCTTTTTATTATAGCCTTTGCTGTGATAACCTTTCCAGCAGGAACACGACCAGTTTACACAAGAATCGGAAACAACCCCTCAACAAATTAGAAAAGGATCATCGTCTGTTATCAGTCAAAACACACCAGTAGCCAGCTAAGACAGGGGCCAATAAAGGCAACCAGCGACAGACAGAGAATTGTTGAGAGGACCCCTGCAGGGATGTCTCTCATGCCATGCTGGGTTGCGTTTATTAAGATGAACCCTGGACCTGGACACGGCTCCCTTTTTTGGTAACGCTCTCTGGCAGTCTTTGTCACTCTGTTACCACACATGGCTTATCGTGGGGGAAAAAGCTGTCTACACACGACTTAAACCGGCTCTCGCTCCCTACACCAGGGTTGAGGAATCTCAGGACTTTACGATGCAAAAATTGTCTCCATACCAAAACCTGCTGTCAACCAGGACTGGCACCAAATTATAACGAGGTATGAAGAAAGGGTGTGAGGTATCTTTCAACACATTATACATGTACCTTACGATATGAATCTAACACTTTCTGTTTCAAAGAGGGGGGCATCCATGTTCACAGCTTCAAAGTCGACATGTATCTCTAGGGTCTTGGGCATTTTATGGCAGTGTAAAAAAAAAAAATATGACAATGAAATAAAATGCAAAGGTCTAGACACATGTCAGGAAGTGATTTGACTGGATGCCCTTTGCATTCCGAATTACAGATGAGCATCTTTAAATGCCAAACAGCTTTCTAGTGTCAATACTCATCTGCAGAACTTTTTTACAACCAAAAAGTGCAAATATAGTCCCAGTTACTTATAACCCTACCTATGGAATTTTGTGTATTTGTCTCAGTCCTGGTCCACAATGCAAAAATTGGTTGATCTTAGCAATGAATATTTACAATACGAGTTTATATTCAAACAGTGTACATTCGCACACAAAAATCAAGCAAGAAAATCAAATTGAATGACATCCATGGTGCATAAATTAATCAACGAACATAAAACAATAGTTAATTGGCTGGGCAAATGGCATAAGAAAAATGGATGAACGAGGAAGAAAATTTGAAAAGCAAACTGATGCAGTACCTTGATCATCTTGGATGCCAAACGGAGTCCATTCAGCATGGTGAGCGCCTTGGAGGCATCAGCAGGCTTCATGTAGTTAACAAAACCATAGCCCAAACTTTGACCTGTTGTGTAGAACCACACAAAACAAAACAAAAACTTAGAAATAATATCTAATATCTAATACTAACTAAATAAACTAATAAGAATATAAATAGAAATGAGAGGTGGATGAAGGGCAGGGATGCAACCAATGTATGTGTCTGAAATCAGGCATCACTTTTGGGAAATTCTTCAGGTTTGGCTTAAATATATCTGAAACTTTTTCAAACCCCTCCCCCCCTAAAACAATAATACAGATTCGAATTCCTTTTTCTAACATTTAACTTCTAGTGCTAACCCAACATTTTTTGAATAATCAGAATTGGTTGCATCTCTGACTGCAATCATTCCACATTCATTTCTTAATGAAGGAACAATTTGTAATCATGAGAAATCCAAACGTTAACTGAATTGAATATGAAGGCATGCCTCGTCCACTGACATGTACATGACTTAAAGTAATTAAAGTACGATACCGGTATCTATGTTAGAAAGAAAAGAAAAGGATGTAGGTATTAGTTCCAGATGCTTTATATCATAGCTGGTTCAGTTTTGATAATATGTCTGCTGTGGTCTTGGACACTACATGTACATGGATAACTTGGACATTTATTCATACAGTCTTGGTTGAAGGACAAATTCTGATGCTGCAAACCGAGTTGATCATGTGATGCTGCAGTGACGATTAATGGGTTGTTCTGAAATTAACTGCACACCACAATGGAGTCAGCAGTGCGTGACAGTTGGGGCCTAGTAATAGGTACATGTATTAAACATAGTGCAATTACATTAATGATCTCGCAGTGGATAATGTAACAACAAAACCGAGATATTCAAGGTAAAATGGGAAGAGAACATATATCAAAAGTAGTGTGGTAGTGAGTATCCTTGCATACTTGACGATGCTATTTTGAAATGAGTGTAATTTCGGATCTCCATCAGAAGAAAAATTTTATGCCCAAAACTTGGGTGATTTCATCTAATTTTTCACAAATTATCTAAAAAAAGTTATCAAGTCCGAGTACGAGTATCCTTGGGGTCAGTGACCCTTTAAGACCCGTGAGGACATCTCTATATTGGACTGGACAGTTGGTCAGCCCTCCCTCCTTCAAATAACTCTTTCAGGTGATTGGTGTCCGTATCAAGACCCACAACTGCAACTTGGCATCCAACAGTGAACCTAAATGGTTAATATCAACAGGGCTACAAGTCGGTTCCATTAACACCCAGACACCATGCTGGTCTCCTTACAAGGAGGAGACGAGGCCAAAGTCTTGAGAGCGAGAGACAGATAGGGAGATGAGTCTCAGATGCAGTGAGGAGAATAAGACTTAGTCGAACAAGCAGAACGGCCTCCCGCTACCAGACCTGATGGCATTTCTACACATTTTTAATGGGCGCACTGAGGATATTAACTTAGTCATGCACAATTCGAGGATGCAATTGCAAATGCAACCATATGTCCCTTTTTCTCATAAAAAGGAAAGTGCATATCATTGTGTTCCGTTTCCAGATGTCCACAGGCAATGCTTTTCCATTTATATTAAAGCATTTAACTGGCTACATGGAACAATAAAAACATCTAACAAGAGTTCCCAATTTTTCCAAGTAATTATTTCGGACAAACTACATGTACATGTGGGCTAAGCAATTGTAATTAATACAGTTGAGTAATTTAGACCTCAAGAACGTCAATTTTAAAGTTGTTCCAGGAGGACATTAAAAAGAACGAGAAGTATTTGCCTTGTTAGGGCATAACTCGGACAGGCATTCCTGCTATGTGCTGTGTGTGCCATTCCATTAACATGAAGGAACCATTCATTTTATCTCAGAAATTGTCCAAAATTACAATCATGAATTCCTTGATTACAACCACACGGGCACGACAATAGCTCTCAATTCATTTGCATCTGCCCTCGTCTTGAGGATACAATCGGTAAAGTCAATCGTACAGTGAATTCATACATGTACATGGACGAACATGTACATGTATGCTGTTTGGGAATTTACATGTAAAATTGGAACAATGCCTCCCGTCCTTTGAATTATGGACATAAAATAAATTAATTGCTGAAACAAGCCGAAGGACAAACCTTGGAATTCTTTTTCTGATTTCAATCTTGAAGATGTACATGTCATTTCTGTAATTTGCTCATGTTTAGCCAGCCTGCCTGCCTGTTTATCGTTTTTAATAAATATTGCAATACTATTTTATGGGAAGATCAGGATTGAAGCTAATGTACTCCAATGGAGATTGTTGATTGATCGCTTTAACAGCGAGTGTAGATCTATTTATGAATAATACAACACACTAAGAATTCCCTACCAGGGCAATACAAACAGTCCCCAATGAAAATGAAAGACTATCACACCAGCCGGCCGTTCTCTAATGGATGATCTGGTGTCGTACTAAGAGGCAGATGGCTAGACCCAAGAACAAAGAAAACCCAGCCCTGGCTGATTGTCTTGCCCCGTCCCCTTTTCCTGTTTCCTGCCATTACTGGATGGGTAAGGGGTGATAGGAGACAGAGGAGCTGCACCCCTAAGGCTTCCTTTCCTTCCCCTCTCTCTGCACAAAGACCCTCTATGCCCTGCCTCAAGACATCTCGGCTAAATTGTCTCTCACGAGTGCCTCCGTGGCTCTAATGTCTCTCACTCATTCGGTGCGTGACTCAGTAATAAGCAGGCCAAGCTCTGAATAAATCCAGATGATTTTTTTTTCTTTATTTAGGGATTTGGTTTTTTCAGAGGAGACACCGCCACTGTGAAGTCTGGATTGCGGTTTTCCCAATCTTCATGTCAACAAAAGTAGAGAAGCCATCAATATGGTGTGAATGGTCAAAAGCCTAATGTCAACACTGTAAGGGAATCCTGATTGAGGTGGGTATTGTCTGCCGCTAATGGCCATACTGCCGAAATATTACAAAACCAGAGTATGGCTTCAGCCAAAATTGTGTTATTAGTCAGACACCAGTGAGACATTTGTTCGGCTAGCAGTCACTTAATTAAGCTTGTGACCTTTCACTGTGGCCAAGCATCAATGCTTATTTGGAAATGGAATTTAAGTGGCTTTACAAAAGAAAACCTTAGATTGTTCACGACTGATTTTTATTGGCAGCTGCAAGTGTGAAAAGTGTTTGCACTTTGGAATTGTGCTATTTTTGCGTTTCCTTTCACCGGCACTGAATACTGAAACATTTCAGGTGACTGGAGTCCCCCTCCCCCCTCCCCCCCAACCGACACCCCAGGTCTGAACTTGTGAAGACAGGTGCAGGATCATGTATAAATTATCCTGGGCAAACAAGCCAAGATTTAACAAATGTAACCAGAGACAATTTTTAATTTAAGAAATATCCCGTCACAACAATACTGACAGGACATGAGGCTAAAAAAAAAAAAAAAAAAAGTACATCAGCCTCAGCTCTTAACCTTTCTGGGAGTCCCAATGCTCACCGATGCGCGGAAGAAAATGGCTTGTGTGCAACAGAGTGACTACAAGCCATAAAAATTACAATGAACGGTGCTCAACATTGCTCACATCTTGAAAGCCAGCGTTTGTGCATTAGGCCTACTTGGCTGAGCCACAAACTGCCATCAGGGTATCTCGTCTACAGATCGCTAGCCACAAGATAATGAGGGCTGAGAAGATGTGAGGGTACAGAGTCATTGCAGGATGTAGAGCCAAGGAACATTCAGTTAAATAGAGTTAATATTGACAGTGGATTTGGCCCGTGCTATTTATGGGCCCAGTTCAAAATTCAACCGAGACTAAGAACATGGTGAATTTATCTTCGCTTAAAATAGTTGGGTTTTTTTGGTGAAAATATCGCATGGCTAGTTGAATATGTATGTGAATTCATATCAAAATAATCAATTCCAAAATAATATAATCAAAGTTTGTAACAAAAAAGTATTTTTAACGAATCCTCAGAATGTAACGCTGAAAGTGAATTTTGTATATAAGTAAAAAAAAAATCCTTGCATTTTATTACTTGTAACAAAGAAATTGGACATGCTTACGTGCAAGTATACATCCTTATTTATCTCCAGTGATGTTAATTTGCCACAAACACACACGATCAATTATCCAATCTTCAGTTCATGTTTTAACACCCCAGTCCTAACAAAGGCACCATTGTTGACTTGTCAGGGGTAACAATAGCCAAAGATTAATGAGCTTTGTTTAGTTTCAATCTTTTTGTTTAGTCAACTCACAATTTGATGCAATAAATGGTACATCTGTTCCATACACAGAATCCACATCCAACACTAATCAGCTTATATATTCCTAACTGTTAACTGTTTGTCTAACTGTGACAAATCAATAATGATGATAAAACCACAAAGTTGACATGGATATCTGGAAACCAGAAGTACACACACCAGAGGCAGGTGGTCAATCAATGCAATATGCTGGTGTAGTTTGTGACATGTATGGTGGGAAACTAAACAGTCACAGTTACAGAGTACAGAACTCATTAACTGTGGATGGACAACTATTTATTAAACAAAGAAGATCAATTCCTTTGTCTGTTTTTTGTCCCCACAAATTGGTGGGGTAGTGATAGCCTAATTGATTGGTTGGGAAGGGGGGGGGGGGTGCAAGGGGGTTCCTCACCCCCCCCCCCAAAAAAAAGGTTTGTTCTTTGTGCATTGACTTCAAGGGAAAGCGATCAACAGTGTTTTATCACGGGAGTCTCTTTATGAGGAACCGAAACAAAACATGAGATCAAAGTCCTGAGTTTTTTTTTTCGTGACTGAAGGTTTTACCAAAGTCCACATCCTGAGCGGATAGATCAAAAGGATGGTAAATATCCAACTTTTCCCTCTGGTCAGAAATAAAAAGCTCAATTTAAAATGTTTGCCGACTGAAATTTATAAATAATGATGGTAACGGTTTGTGATGTGCACTGGTGTAACTTGGTCTTCCGTTGACTCTTCCATTACTATGGCAAACATGCACGATAAAAACATTACCTCACCGGTTCCATCCAAGAAATGTTTTCAAGTGAGCACTCAAATT